ATATACAATACACATTGTTTCCAGCAATATCCCATGGCGGGATCTTTGTGCTGCCATGGCCTATGACCAGGAAAAGAAAATTGCGGTAAGTAGGAATACATTTTCCTTTCTCCTGGCCATGTCCATGGCAGCAAAACAATGGGTAATACCCAAGCAATAACCAAGGGAGGGAAAGAAATACACAAGATTTCCAAATTATGAATACAAAGTGAAAACACACACACCTCATAAAGACATTGGAAATTAAAAACGGATTTCCCACTATTGCCACATTACCACATTGACCTATTCAAATGTACCAAATAAAATGTCTGAAAAAAGTATTGGCTGAGGACCAAGCAGGCATTTAACTTATAAGTTCTAGGGAAACTTGGCCACTGATGCTCAAGAGGGAGAAACGGCTCTAGTGGAGAGCTAACAGACCTTCAGGTACTGTAACCCCTAGGGCTTAGTAGCCTGATGTCTTATATAGAGGCATGAAGACCTCTCCTGGTGCATTAGTTAAGATAAATCGACTATCAGTAGAAAGCCAGATAGTGAATCTATAGAAATAGATCTTAAGATCGTCTATCTAGAACAAGAGAAGAAAGTTTAATTACAGAGTCTTCATTCCAATCAATAGGCTTTTAGAGCTGGAAGAATAATTTCTTCATTAATATGGAGAGAATAAGCCACTTTATGACTAAATTCAGTAACAGATTACAAATTATTCTATATTGTGAAAGACAGTAAAGGGTTTTATGCCAAATAATGCTTAAAGATCTGATATCCTTCTGCCCAATGCTAATGTCACCGATAGAGCTAACTTAATATTAAGCAGATGTGGAGAGATAGAGTCTCATGGTTAAAAGGGGTGAGAAGTCTACAGGAGCAATGGTTAACTGAGGGATCATATAAATACAGCCAGCAAATATTTAGATACTTCCATATCAAAGCCCCTTCACAAAAAGAGATATCAGAGAGTGCTAAGACATGTACCTCTAAGGTGAGGTGGCTAAGTCCTAGATGAGTCCTTGATTGAAGAACTTAGAACCTCCTTGGTAGAAAGAATTTGAATGATTACCTAATTAGAAATAGACTAGGAAAAAAGGCATCCCAACTCTGTAAAGGTAGCCGAGGATATACATTTTCCCTGGCCTTCAGAAGGGTATATTGCTGCACCTGAAAAACCCTTGAATTTAAGCCTTTCTTTCAATATTGAAACCTTCCGAAAGAGGAGAGTAGCACTAGACCTGGTGGAAGAGGGAAGAACTCTTTTGGGAGATCCCAAAAAGGTACTTAAGAAAGGAAAGTGAAAACCATGTTGATGTTGATGCAACCTATGCAGAAGGAAGGTATTGGATGTTAAGAATGTCCCTTTCATGAACATATTCAATTTTGGAGAAAGGTTCCTCAACCCCATTGGATGGTATTGATAGTTTTCACTGTTCAAGGAATTTCTATATGAAAGTTCTTACTTGATACTTTCTGAAGCACTTTCTGAAAAGAGCTGTACCGTGCCTTGGACTGTGTCAAACCGTGTTCCTGGCTATACCCTGGACTGGGAGGGATCAAGGTGATTTCAACTGACATTTATCTTTCACCATGAAGATGTAAAAATTAAAGTGTTCTTCCACTGTAATCTGAGAAACCTCTGGTGATGTGGGGCAATAGGTACATGGGAATAAGCATCCTGCAAATCTATAGAAATCATCCAATGTACTAGGAATACTGCCTTTATGGTGAAGAATGATCAAGAATCAAAAAACTTATGTAGAACTAGAATGGATCTCTATCCGCCTGTTACAAACAGAGTCTTTGTGTTATAGCGGACTTTGAAATTTACAATGCATCTCTTTTTTACCTCATCTCTTCTTCTGTTGGAAGAATAACCACTTCTCAAGGTTGAGATATACAATACACTTTTCCAGGTGTGAAATACCTGTGTCCTGGAAGAAAGGGAATGAGAGGCTTTGGATCGAAATGGTCTCCTGAACCTTAGGTCTTGCAGTAGACAAACTTTCTTAAGCCATTCTCTGAATCCATTTATCTCGGAGGATACATACACGGACCAGGTACTAAACCAAAGAGCCCAACTAGTAGAGAAAGAGTCATATTTCTGGTATAACATAACCTATGCAAGCTTCTTAGCTGAAGACTATTTCTGGCTTAATGACTTGTAATGTCAAGAGACAAAAGAAAGATTATCTATCCATACCAAACTTAGATCCTTATAGACTGAGGTAAAAGTTTGTAGCAGGATGAAAGCATGTGCCAGCTTCTACATAGGTTATTAGAGAGGATCAAGACGATCTGTGCTCCATGGAGTCTCAAAGAGATCCCGCATTGTTGAACAGAACAGATAGAGTTGAACATTTAGCCATTCTAAGTACTTCATCGTCCACTTAGGAGCAGAGTCCCAGGCAGCGGCGTACATACCACAGTCGCAGGGGTCTCAGCTGCGGCCGGGTCTGTCACTCCAGGTGGTCCGGCCACCCTGCGGACCCCCGCGACTGGGTACCAGCTACCCCGTTTTGTGGCCCCGGCCCGGCGGGAAACAGCCGGGGCCGCATGTTGAGGGGTCCATCAGGTGGCCCATGCTGTCAGGGCCACCCGATGGACATGGATTTCAGGGGGCATGGTCAGCGCTGGGCGTTTTAACAGCGTGACCAGACCCCCTGTGATGACATCACCCTGGGAGGAAGTGACTCCCTGGTCACTCCTCCCAGCTATCAGAGCCTGCGCGGGAGGAAGCAGGAAGGAGGAGGGAGTCAGAGTGGGAACTCTGACTCCCATCAGACTAAGCCCCCGCTGGACCCCAGGGAAAGTCACAAAAGGTAGGAAACAGGAAACATTTTATATATGTGTGTCTCTGTATGTATGTATGTGTCTCCCTGTTTTGTGTGTGTCTGTCTTTGTATATGTGTGTGTCTGTGTCTCTGTATGTGTGTGTCTCTGTATGTGTCTGTGTCTCTGTGTGTGTGTGGGTGTCTCTGTATCTCTGTATGTGTGTATGTCTATATCTCTGTATGTCTCTGTATGTGTGTGTGTCTCTGTATGTGTGTGTCTGTATGTGTGTGTGTATGTGTCTGTATGTGTGTGTGTGTGTATGTATGTGTCTGTCTGTGTGTCTGTATGTATGTGTCTTTGGGGGGGTGTCTGTCTGTGTGTATGTGTTTGTGTCTATGTATGTGTCGGGGAGAGAGGGGAGGGAAGGGGAGAGAGGCGAGGGAGGGGGGCCCACGGAGCAGTTTCGCACCGGGGCCCCATGGATTGTGTGTACGCCACTGGTATCAGGTACAAACATCTGATATCCAAAGGGATGAAGACGCAAGATGTAGAAAACCTCAGTGTAGAACCATCCCTCCATAATAAGGATCTTAATGGTACTGGGAACTTGAAAAGATGCTCTGTTCTTTCTGACATCCAAAAGAAAGGCTAGAGGTAGAATGCTCAACCTTAGAAGATTCTTTCAGATATAAGGACCCTACAGACTATAGAAATAATTTGGTCACTTTGAGAGGTTTCTGGAAGCACTGAAATAGGCTGAATATACTCATTCGAAGATGATACCATATCTCTAAATGTGTCCATCTCCAAGGATTCCTCAAAGTATACATTCTGGGAATTGTCTAGAGGATCTGCGCTTTAACAGCTTCTATGATGTCTTGGGATACCTCTGGTTTAATATTTCATAATATACGGCACAGGGGTAGATTGGCCTGTAGCCACTTTCAGGCAGTCTGCACAGAGACAAGGCTCGCTTATCATATGCCTCACAGAGGTTCCTTCTCTTGTATGATCCGGATAATTTTTTTCCCATAGAGCTATCATCATAGGGGATTCCAATTATTAATAGGCACTTTTTTGTTTGGTAACCACAGAAAAAATTAGAATGGCTTACCTATGTCTTAGAGTGTGACCCTTTTCTATGGGAGCAGATAGATCTGAATCCATAACTGCATAAGATTCCTAAGTTATCCTTAGCAAAGCAAATCTCTACTACAACAGCAGAGATTGATAGATACGTAAAAATATGTAATATAACTTTAATATGGGAAAAAACAAATAAACTTTTTTTTTTGAGCTTTTGGTGCTTAAAAGGGTAAGCCAACACGACACTGCAACCGTACTAACATTACAGAATACACATAAGCAAATTGTATTTTTGTACATGCACGTTAGCTGCATGGCGTGAACGATTTGAACAAAATTATTTTTTTTATCTGTGCAGAAGTCTACAAGGTATGGCATTACATAATCATGAGAGTAGAGTGTTATTGGTTAATCTTTATTTTTGTCCTTCAATTTTCTAAGCAACTGTACACTGATGATTATTTTTTAAATTGGTGGTGCTCTACCAAATAGGTAGCATTTGCCACAATAATGATACACATATTTATTTCCTTTTCTCTTCCATGTTAATAAAAAATGAGAACTTCTTCCAAAAATAACACGTAAATATCTCAATCACTGTAGTAACACAAAATACTATATTGTTCTACAGTTTTTTCCTCTCATTTAACAATTGTATAAAAAACTAAAATAATTATGCTTGTTATTGACATTAATGTTAGCCAAAGATAATATATTGTGCTTTCATCTCTATAGCACTAAAAGTGTTAGTCACATATATTTATACATATTTTTGCTGCAAACAATTCCTTCAAATATAAACTAGAAATTGACTAATATTGCATACTAGTAGATGCATAGTTAGTGCCTTGCTATACATGGTTGTTCAGGTGTGAAAATATACACATGTAAAATTCATGCTGCTGATTTCAAAATCAATTTAATGTCGAGGTTAATGGGTCAGCACAGCATGCTGTTGTTTTTTCTCACACTGTTCTTGCAGTGTTGCAAAGGTGACAATTGCATACAGGCTTCCAGTTGTTATGATAAACTCCCACAATACCTTGCTGTTTATTTCGCTGAAAAAGGTAGGTATGAACTGTATCCCCTTACCAGATAGATATGTGGTCCAAAGTAACAGGTGAATTACTTTTCTTAAAGGGACACTATAGTCACCTGAACAACTTTAGCTTAATGAAGCAGTTTTGGTGTATAGAACAAGCCCCTGCAGCCTCGCTGCTCAATCCTCTGCCATTTAGGAGTTAGATCCCTTTGTTTATGAACCCTAGTCACACCTCCCTGCATGTGACTTGCACAGCCTTCCATAAACACTTCCTGTAAAAAGAGCACTATTTAGGCTTTCTTTATTGCAAGTTCTGTTTAATTAAGATTTTCTTATCCCCTGCTATGTTAATAGCTTGCTAGACCCTGCAAGAGCCTCCTGTATGTGATTAAAGTCCAATTTAGAGATTGAGATACAATTATTTAAGGTAAATTACATCTGTTTGAAAGTGAAATCAGTTGTTTTTTTTTTCATGCAGGCTCTGTCAATCGTAGCCAGGGGAGGTGTGGCTAGGGCAGCATAAACAGAAACAAAGTGATTTAACTCCTAAATGGCAGTGAATTGAGCAGTGAAATTGCAGGGGAATGATCTATACACTAAAACTGCTTTATTTAGCTAAAGTAATTTAGGGGACTATAGTGTTCCTTTAAAATAACATATTTCTCAACGAAATGAAAGAGAGGCATTCCCAACATTCTTCTGGTTGTAAATGGACTGTTAATATATATAGCATATATCTTGGGCTATTACTATGGGAATAAGATTTTACACTGTCGAATAAGTTTACATTTTCATGGTGCAATGCTTTTGTTTAATTATTTCCAATCTCCCCTCCACCCCCCTCCCATCTCTTTGCCCTTGTTTTTGTAATTTACTTTGAGTTATATATACCTGTTTTGATGTCATTTTTAAAAGGGGGGAATTGTCAAGATAAAGTAATTTACTACATAATGTGTTTAGTGTTCTTATGAACTGTGTTTTCTTTATTTTCCTGCTTTCGTAGGTATTTGATTTTATTTACAGTCAAGGGAAAAATAAATTATGCCATCTTTGAAATTGATTGTTTTACAGATTATTATTATTTTATTACAATGTTTACCAAAAAAGCACGCTAAACTGATGGCAAAGATCTGCACATACAAAAGCACAGAGAATAGTGCAGACTATCTGGACCATATAATATATAGATGGAGGGTGTGGGGAAAAAAAACACATTTACCATAGTCCTATCACCCCTCGCTCTGGGTTTGCAATGCTCCACTTGAGAGGGAAGACTCCCACACTGTATAGAATCCAAGTGGTGTGCTCACTGGAAGCTGGTGGTTCTGTGCAATTTAGGACAGAGAGAGGCAGGACCTCTAGTATCTCATACAATTTATTGTAAAACAAAGATTAAAAAATCTTACTTAGCGAGTGGTGGGTTATGCTGGCAAAGCTACCCACATAAGAGCATGAATACAGCAAACAGAAAGTTTGTAAAATGTCATTTCCGGGTTCCATCCGTCCCAATCATGTGATCACTTCCGGGTCCTCCTCTCCAGTGACGTGTGTGTGACACGTTTTTCCCGCCTACCCAGGCGTCCTTTGACAACGTGCCCCCATCTACTTATTTAAGAACATCAAGCATTCTTAATTTTTTTTACAAAGTATGTGCCCTTATTCTACTTATGTTCAAACTTTTTGCTCTGTGCCCAGTCTGTCACTTGACTTTATCCCAAGGGTCAGGTCAACTGGCTGTCATAGACCCCTTTTAGGTACCCAGTAGTACAATACATTTTCTCTTGGCCTCTTATGCCTTATATAGCAATCCTGCAAGGCCAAATCCCATCCTTACATTCAAAGGTACTTCATCCCTTAGACCAAATCATAGCTAGAGCTTTGCCCTTGTTACAGTTAAAGCCTTACTGGTCATGCTCAATTTTTCTTTAATTGTGTAATTGTCACTGAGAGGCCAACACCCTATCACTTCGCTCCATGGCTCAAAGCCCCTCATCCCAATTAATTTGCATATTTGCATTTAATATGGTAAGTAACAGTATATACAGTTCCTCATCAAGTCCTCTCCTCATAACTCCTTGTTTTCCCAGCTGAAAACAACCCTCAGCCCCACCAAAATAAACAATTTTGTCTATATAAGTGAAACAATGATTGACCCTTATAAAATTCCCTCCCAGTTAAGACGAATCCCTGCCCTGCAACTGTGACAGAGCCTCTCACACCACTTGACAACTAGCAGGGCCTCACTTGTTATATACAAAGTTAGTAGATTCCCCACTTGACATTAATTAGAAGCCATTTCACATTTGTAGTAGGGAAGTAGGTTAGTTTTAACTCACTAGGTGTCTCTCATTGTTATGTAGCATGTGTTATAGAAACCTCCTTTTCCTGGAACCTGGAGGGAACTAAGTGCCAGCATCCTCTCCACTCAACTATGGGACTTGGCTTAGAAAGGTTCTCTGCTTTTGGGGAGGTGGGTATGGGGGGGGGGGGCAGTTGGCAGTACCTCTTCCCCCTGCTGATGTTTGCCATGTTTCCCCAATTACCAGTGTAACAGATGATATCATAACTTTCAATTGACAGTCATCTGATTTGAATATATTGATTGTCCAGGTTGTGTTTGCCTCTCTCCTGACCCCTTTTTTCTTTCTTCTTGCTTTCCTTGCAGGGCATTGTCTCGTTGTTCTATGGACATTTCCAGACCAGTTAAAAGTGTGTGCCCTGTCACTCATTTAAATTTCTCATGTGGCCCTTATTTTCTGTCCCCACCATTCCTTGTAACAACAGTGCCCCACTGACACTAGTGTAATTGGTTGCTCTCCCAAGTCCATATTGTTATAGGTTGTTTTGGGCTAATATGCTGTTTGGGAAAGGGTTATGGTGGGGAACATGAAGGGGAACTTTGTGTACCACTGTAACCCTACTGTAAGTAAATTAGGCTGTTAGGGGTATAACTACAGGGAGTGCAGAATTATTAGGCAAATGAGTATTTTGACCACATCATCCTCTATATGCATGTTGTCTTACTCCAAGCTGTATAGGCTCGAAAGCCTACTACCAGTTAAGCATATTAGGTGATGTGCATCTCTGTAATGAGAAGGGGTGTGGTCTAATGACATCAACACCCTATATCAGGTGTGCATAATTATTAGGCAACTTCCTTTCCTTTGGCAAAATGGGTCAAAAGAAGGACTTGACAGGCTCAGAAAAGTCAAAAATACTGAGATATCTTGCAGAGGGATGCAGCACTCTTAAAATTGCAAAGCTTCTGAAGCGTGATCATCGAACAATCAAGCGTTTCATTCAAAATAGTCAACAGGGTCGCAAGAAGCGTGTGGAAAAACCAAGGCGCAAAATAACTGCCCATGAACTGAGAAAAGTCAAGCGTGCAGCTGCCACGATGCCACTTGCCACCAGTTTGGCCATATTTCAGAGCTGCAACATCACTGGAGTGCCCAAAAGCACAAGGTGTGCAATACTCAGAGACATGGCCAAGGTAAGAAAGGCTGAAAGACGACCACCACTGAACAAGACACACAAACTGAAACGTCAAGACTGGGCCAAGAAATATCTCAAGACTGATTTTTCTAAGGTTTTATGGACTGATGAAATGAGAGTGAGTCTTGATGGGCCAGATGGATGGGCCCGTGGCTGGATTGGTAAAGGGCAGAGAGCTCCAGTCCGACTCAGACGCCAGCAAGGTGGAGGTGGAGTACTGGTTTGGGCTGGTATCATCAAAGATGAGCTTGTGGGGCCTTTTCGGGTTGAGGATGGAGTCAAGCTCAACTCCCAGTCCTACTGCCAGTTCCTGGAAGACACCTTCTTCAAGCAGTGGTACAGGAAGAAGTCTGCATCCTTCAAGAAAAACATGATTTTCATGCAGGACAATGCTCCATCACACGCGTCCAAGTACTCCACAGCGTGGCTGGCAAGAAAGGGTATAAAAGAAGAAAATCTAATGACATGGCCTCCTTGTTCACCTGATCTGAACCCCATTGAGAACCTGTGGTCCATCATCAAATGTGAGATTTACAAGGAGGGAAAACAGTACACCTCTCTGAACAGTGTCTGGGAGGCTGTGGTTGCTGCTGCACGCAATGTTGATGGTGAACAGATCAAAACACTGACAGAATCCATGGATGGCAGGCTTTTGAGTGTCCTTGCAAAGAAAGGTGGCTATATTGGTCACTGATTTGTTTTTGTTTTGTTTTTGAATGTCAGAAATGTATATTTGTGAATGTTGAGATGTTATATTGATTTCACTGGTAATAATAAATAATTGAAATGGGTATATATTTGTTTTTTGTTAAGTTGCCTAATAATTATGCACAGTAATAGTCACCTGCACACACAGATATCCCCCTAACATAGCTAAAACTAAAAACAAACTAAAAACTACTTCCAAAAATATTCAGCTTTGATATTAATGAGTTTTTTGGGTTCATTGAGAACATGGTTGTTGTTCAATAATAAAATTAATCCTCAAAAATACAACTTGCCTAATAATTCTGCACTCCCTGTACAAGTTATGTACTCAATAAATATGTTTTACCCTATGTTATGTCTTAACTAGTATTTTAGTGGAAGGGCCATAATCAATACCTTGCCATAATCACTGCTCCGGTGCGATATTCACTGCAGCATGGTCTGGTGAAAGAGGTCCTCAAAGACCCCAGTCAAGCCGCAGTGATTGAGTCTGAAGTGTTCCAGAGTTCCTGGTAGCAAGGATCAAACTGAAATGGCAGTCAGCCAGAACTAGAAACCACCTATAAAGTATTTTGTGTGTAATCTCCAAGTGGGAGACGCACACCGTAAATCCCTTGTGGGCCTGGAATGCTCTTGACCACTCTGTTGGAGCCACAGTGTGGCCCAAATCCTTGTACCGTTTCTGGATGTGTCACCAGTCTGTAGCAGGCAACTCTGAATTTAATAAATCGTAATGCGAACAATAATCTTTATTGGTTGAACTACCTGTAAGCACATTTTTTCCCATATAGGTAAGCCGTTTTCTAGATCTCCATCTCCAAAGCCAGTGCTGGTGTGTTAATTGGCCTTTAAGTTGTAAGTAGGAAAACAAGACCAAACTGAGCAGATAATAGGTCCTGCACAGTGTTGAGAAAGTTATCATCAGGGATCAACAGGAATGTTATCAGGGATTAACATGGGTCACTCCAGAGCCCTCACAGAGCTATTAATAAAAAGAGCACTTCCTCTTGTAAAGTGCATATAGGTGGGTTGCTCTAGGCTAAGGAAGGTGACCACAAAGCTTGCATGCCTGATCCAAAATATTAAATAACAGTTTAGTCATGGGAAGTACCTTGGTGATACAAGGTTGATCTGGTTTTGATATCCAGGAAAGGTATTTGGTGTTTGTGTTGTGAGTTCACATGTACTCAATTTGAG